TTAGTGGAATGGTTATGAATTAATTACCATTCCACCAGCTGTAGTTTAGAGAAAGTCTGATCAAACGGACACGTCAGGAGAAGAGCCGTTACAAAGTGTTTCTGCACTAATCTCATAATGCTCACAGCAGTTCATACCAACTTTTCACAAACGTGGTTAATTGAAGCAGAAAGTAGCTATAAAGGAGGCTACTGCAGCACTTCTGGTAGAAATAGCAAAATCCTGCAGGAATTACCCTGAAGTGGGAATTCTCTGACAGTTTTAAGGTTATAAAATAGTATTTGCATGAAGTTCTATGACATGTTTTTAGATTAAAACGGTGACGTAATTCAAAACTTGTTATGCAGCGTGGTTTTTGCTGTGGTTCTCCATTTGAAAGCAGGCATCTCTAAAGAGAAAATATTACGGTTAAACAGCAGGAACGGCAGCAGAGGAAGAGTTATTTCCCACAGGAGATCTAATGAAACAATTCTTTTTAATTTTACTGACATTCAACAGAAGAAGATTGAAGGAAAGAGACCTGCAGATGTGTCATGCGAGTGATGAATAGATCAGATTTGATCAGAACAAAGGTGAACAAATGCATTAAGGCTTAATCCCAAATCTGCATCGGAACAGGACCGTCCTACTGATCTGTCGGTCTCCCTGCAGTACACCATGCTCAAGAAACCACAGGTATTGTTGCGCCAGCAGCCTGAGTACTTTTGGTTTGAGCTGTATTTGTTTTTCAGTAGGTGTGGTGGTTTGCACCAACTTCATCCTGATGCCTGTCAGTTACTCTCACATGGAGCCACTGGTGACTGTTGTTGTGTCATTCAGAAACACTTCTAAACACACATTTAGACGACTTCCACACGTAAATGAGATCAGGTAGGAAAAAAAATCTATGAACAGATTCATAATTTGTCATTAATGAGATCCTTAAAGTTTAAATAATAACACACTACCTGGTGTTGACTGAACTGATCTTAAATTTGTGTCAGGATCTTTAGTTTTTTGGGGATTTATTGTTCCCGTCTCCTTGGTTGCCAGGTTTGTGTGGAACAGAGGAAACAAGTCTGGTCATGTTTTAAATGTGAAAACACACACCGGTAGGTTTTACTGGACTTACAGACACACCCTAACTGGTACAAGTGGAGCTGATCATGTATGTGTGAGTGTGTGTGTCGTACTTTATCAGCCTCCTGGCTGCAGCGCTCCACTCGGGTTGTGTATTTGCGAACTTCCTCCTGCGACTTGGATGGGTCTGCTTTGGCGTGCGTTTCCCTGGTAAAAGCTGTCCACTCCTCCTTCTTGGCCTGGTGGTAGCTCTTCTTACTGGACTCCACCTTGAAACACAGGTTTCAACACATTTCTGATATGAAATCAACAAAACATGATGGCATCCTATGTGAAACACAGTGGTATGTCCCAGGCAAGACCAATGGATTATCTCAGGGGTCTGCAACCTGTGGCTCTACAGCCATAAGTGGCTCTCTCAGTCATCCACAATGGCTCTAAATACATTTCACAGAAAATTATTTAAAAAAAAAATAAAATAAATAAACTCATGTTTTTAACTATTTAATTAGGTTTAAGCAGCTTTATGGAATAACTGCATTGATATTCCACTAACGACACTAAAAGAATCAGAAATTTGTTTTCTGCACATAAAATCCCTTAAATATTTGCTCATGTTGCTGTAGCCTCCGGAAATGGTCTGTTTTTCAAGCTACAGGTCACCTCTTCAGTATCGGGTCATTTGGAGACATACGTCTTAACTGGTGCTTTAATTTACAAGAAGATACTGTTGCCTCGCCAAGGTCTTTCCACGCTCACTCTTATCCAAGACTGGTTTTTATTCACAGCACAAGATGGATGAACTTTCAAAATTAAATCATATAATGAACAAGACGAGTAAATAATCATACGGTTGAATGAACAATAATGATTGAAGGATAATTAATAACAATGTTTTGATTAATCTGTGTTAAATTACTGTGGATGAATATTATGATGTTATGATCAGTAACTTTAGATTTAACAAGTGAATCACTATCTTCTGACAGCTCACACACTCAGACACGTAACGATGACAAGGTTAAGCTAATATCCTGACACACTGCTTTCTGTTCCACCAATCACAACTCCTGTACCTGTCGCGAGGTGTGTTTTCTGAGGTTTGTTGGTAAAATCCCTTCTACATGTCAAATTCTGATTTGTAAGAAAATCAAAATATGACGATCATAAAAACAGAGCTCACGTCACAGTGAGTCAGTTCCAGTTCCAGTTCTAGTTCTTGTGAGTTCTTGTGAAAGCTTCGGACCGGCCATCCGGGGCAAAACCTCTTTAACCCAGAGCACCTTTTGACAAGCTGTCAAAAACCTGTTGCAAGCTACAGCTGACCGCAAACAGTTCCTTCAGAACAAAGCTGAACCAACTTCAACTTCAACTCCTTAAGAGTTATTCCTAAGATGCAAATAACAACTGTCGTGACCTGAAGACAACTCGAGACCGGGAAAGTCCGTACTGCGGTTTCTTCTACGGACTTCGGTACCTCTGGGGTCCCTGGACCTCAACATCCCGGATCTGCCACGGGGGTCTTCGATCAGGGTACGTAGACTGGACAGACTGCGTCTCATGTGTTTTTGGTAAGAACCAACTTTGTTAGTTTAAGGCAGACCAAATTCACTCCCACTCAGAACTCAGTTTCTCCAAATACGAGGATTCTGATAACATCACATTCACACATCATCACACCTCAAATTCCATCCACATAAGGAGTCCGAGTTGTCATGTTTTAATTGTTTAGAAAATACATTTCTTGCTTTTTATTAACTTGACTCCCTTCTTGAATTAATACAAAGTGTTCTACAATCCCCGAATAAACAAAGAATTCTAAATCTTCTGGTTAAACATTCAAGACCAATCAAACTGGATTTCCATATTTATATGGAAATTCACATCATATGGGTCAAAGTGTAGTGTAGTATATTAAGCTTTAAAAGCACCCAAATACATACAATAATTATCCCATTACACTTCTTCTGTACAGGTTTCAGACCGCTGGGTTAAACTAAGATAGCTGGCACGACTCCCCTGGTTTTCTAGGACTGATTTGATCAAATAAAATGTGGTGAACTCACCTCTTTCAGCTTGCGGACCCAGGGTTTCTGGGCTTTCCTAAAGCCATCGTCTGCATCCTTGGTCTCTTTGAAGCCTCCCATCATCTGCTTGTGGAAAGCTTCTTTCTGCCAGCTGCGAACCTTCTCGCTGTCCTCGCCAGCCAGACGCTCTCGCAGCTCCAGGTGCAGCTCGCTGAGGCGATCGGCCGCCTGCATAAAGGCATGCCACGCCTTCTCCACAGTCCCATACTGAGGACCTAGTGATCACAAATGAAGACGAATCATATCAATTAAGTGTACTAAACCCACCTCTTCAATTAGGTTATTGGAGGGGAGTTTCTGATAGCTTCAGTTTGGAGAGACAGATTAGTTCTGGTTAAGCACATGAGCCAGGTTTTCATAGCCATACTTTCATATTTTAGGTTATTCTGCCAGATGTTTTGAAATTCCAGCAAGAATTATAACTGTAGCAAATTTCTGCTTAAAACCACAAAGACCCAGGTGGGTAGCATCACTTAAACTTGACTTATTCATATTGGTGAAGGTTTAGCCTAGAAAGGCCTTTGCTCTGCAGGTTGGCCTAGCTATGCTACAGACGTCAGCAGGTCAGCCACTGACCCGAACAATTAGAGGTCTGGCCAATCACAGCGCTCTACGTTTATAGAGACGTTGAGCAGTGTTGTGGACAAATTTATGTTAATTAATTCTTGATCATTGATTCAATCAACTGAATGTAAATGTATTGCTCTATGCCTCTTTGATCATCCTCACTCATTCACACACCCACACAAGCTTCACACACACACACACACACACACAAGCTTCACACACACACACACACACACACACACACACACACACCCACACACACACACACACACACACACACACACACACACACACGCAATCTCTCTCTCTCCCTCGCACTCCCCCTCTCTATAAATAAACTCTGTGACCGGATGTTCGGGGCATTTTGCCTCGTGCATCTTGCCACAGTTATAACTGTTTGACTTGTTGTTCATTGTCTCCTTTTTCTCTCCGACTATAAGAAATGGGTTATTGATAAACATATTGATAAAATCCATGACAAGCGGGATTAGCATCCGAGCTGCGACTGAGATACCCTAACCTTAAAGATCAGAAAACAGCTGAGGAATGGCGCTCGTTTCAAACGGCTCTGGCAAAAAGACTTTTGTCTGACACGAGCAGATAGAGGTCCTTCATTTCTAAAAAGGTTGAATCTTCTTGAATTGGGATTCCATATCAGATTTATAAATGAGGTTCAGGAAAAACCTGTTCAGCCAATAAAGAAACAACAGTTAATTATTAAAACTACCCATTGGTTGAATTCCTAATATACAGGCCCTTCTAAAAAAAATAGCATATTGTGATAAAGTTCACAATATCAGTCCAACACTCTGGATGAGCTTAAGGCCGCTATAACACCTCAGCAGTGCCACAGGCTGATGGCCTCCATGCCACGCCACATTGAAGTAGTCATTTCTGCAAAAGGATTCCCGACCAAGTATTGAGTGCATAACTGAACATAAGTATTTAAAGGTTGACTTTTTTTGTATTAAAAACACTTTTCTTTTATTGGTCGGATGAAATGTGCAAATTTTTTGAGATAGGAATTTTGGGTTTTCATGAGCTGTACGCCAAAATCATCAATGTTAGAAACAATAAAAGGCTTTAACTACTTAAGTTGTGTGTAATGAATCTAATATATATGAAAGTCTAATGTTTATCGGTACATTACAGACATTAATGAACTTTATCACAATATGATAATTTTTAAAGAAGGACCTGTAGATATCAGAAGGTCTCAGAACCAGAGAATAAACTGAACTGACCTTTTTCCACGATGCCCCTCCACCTTTTGGCCCAGTCGCTCAGCTGAAGGGCGTAGCTCTTTTCGATCTTGGCTCTTTCCTGGAAGCAGCTGATGAGTTCGTTACACAGCTGGTGGCCGTCATCAATGCGCTTCACCGTCCTTTTATAGTTCCCTGGCTGCAAAAGCATGCAAACACAAAGTTAAACACTTGTAAAACAGTAGCCCTGAAAAGGACATATGGTGTGCTTTTAGCTTTACCTCCCAGAAGCTGTCAGACGTGCCGAGTTCGCTGACGTCTCCATTAGAAGACATTTTTGGGTCGGCCTTACAGCACGGAATGATGGCAGCTGCACAACAGACTGTAAAGAAAAAGAAAAAATGAAACAGGTGATTGAAGCGTTTTTGTGTTCAACAATCGCTCATCATGAGTCCAACACCTCTCACTCAGAGGATGCACAAACATACAGACTTAATCTGCTGAGACAGATGCCAGAATGAGACGGAGCCTGAAGGAACACTGTGTGCAGCAGAGTTCATGATTGTGTTTTACTCATTAAGTTATTTTTAGGCTTTAAAACTGCTGATGTGACTCCACACTGGGGTTCCACAACCTGACATTTTAGAGAAACACCGAACTGTTCACCCAACCACAAGATAGTCTGACTTTACCTCTAGATTAGGATTACATGGCTTTTAAAATAAACAAACCATTGTTTTGATATTGCAGATTTGAGTAAACACTTGTTTCCCCCACAAATGTTTCCAAAAGGTCCACAACAAGTGCAAAAAACACTTGTGCATATTTAACTAGCATCGTTTTTATAACATAATATCAAATACAGCATTATGTGCAATCTTACATGTCATCACAGGATCCTGTGTGATGATGCATCAGGACACAGAAGAAAGCATTAATGAAGCTTCAACCACCTGTCCATCATGAGCTACAGGGCTGAGCAGAACTGCATGTGACGGCAGAACAAAGACGACGTTTAACATGACCTGAAGGAACATTTTTCCTTAGCAGTGCAGCTCTGATGCTATGACTGGTGAATTAAACTAGTGATCGTAGGAAACCTTCCTCAGAATTTGTATGAAAGGTGCAGCATTTAATAACCCAGTTAGGCATTACTTGAGGATGTTGTGCTTCTACGATAATCAGTTATGTATTGTTGAACTGCAGTTTGCAGACTTGAAAAGGTATCCGTTTCTCTGAAAATGTAGCTGTAAAGAGATATTCCAGTTGATCTAAAACAGATGCAGTACTCCTCTGCTGTGCAATCAGCTTATTTTATATTATAAAATCAAGATTTAAATGCATTTTAAATGACAAAGTGTTTGCAGGACCTAAAATATGCACCAAGAAATGAAGCATTTGGTTGTGACTGCAGGTCGTTGGTCAAACACAGGTGAACAGTCAAAAGCCGAATGTATAAACATAAATGTGAATCTAGCTAATCCAGGGTATCTGCAGGTTTAAGGGAGCCAAATTTAAGACTTTTTAAGACCTTTTTTAAGGCCACTTTGACCAAATTTAAGCTATAATTTCCAGCTATTGCCTGGAAACGGTGCTAACCACTTCGCAAACGTGGGATTAGCCATCCAGTTACCATTAAACTTGCACTTCCCCATGGCGCAAGCGCCCACTAGCTTAACCAGCTAATGTGCTCATCTAAAAATAGCCCCCTTTCACAACCAACTGAATGTGTACGGTTTCGCTTACGCCAATATCATACACAAAAAAGCTGAACACTAACTAGACATTCATGAAAATTTTATAGAAATTAAAGAATCTTTTTTATTGGGTCTTTGTGGTCATTTAAGACCTTTGGAAACTGCATTTAAGGATTATTTGTCATTTTTAAGGATTTTTAAGACCTTAAATTTGGAAAAGCAAATTTAAGACTTTTTAAGACTTTTTAAGGACCCGCGGATACCCTGTAATCCCCAAAAACCAGTGAGGATCTGTGCTCCTCATGGTTCACTGCCCTGCACGTTTTAGTTGTTTCTCTGCTACAACACACCTGATTCAGTGGTTAAATCACCTCTTCAGCAGGTCATCAAGTTCTTCTGAAGCCTGTTAATCACCACTGACTCAAATCAGGTGTGTTGGATCAGGAGAACAACTAAAACAGGCTGGGGATGGCTCTCAGTGATCAGGAGAGCCCTGAAACATGTAGGACATCTGCTGCAGAGGACCAGGAGAGGATGTTTCATAGGGTTCTCAACAGGGCCTCGCTTATGTTGCCTTTTGTGATCTCGACAGTCCAGCGATGAGCACAGCGAGGAAGCCGTACCGCGGCCAAGACTCTCCCGGCGTGAAATGGACCACTTTGAAGTTCGCAAGTAAACCGTTCCGCTGCTGTTTTGCGCCGCTGATGCTTCCAGTGTGAAACCTGTCAGATGGTTGCAGCCCAGTGAGATTCTGATTTAACTGAGCTTTCCTTCTGTGTGAGCTTTGAAGTCAGAAATCTATTAGAAGACCTTCACATGCCCTAAAATTATACATACTAAAGTTAGTACATAAAAAAGAAACTAAGATAATAACTGTGTATGCTGGGGTGTAATTTGAAGAAGGCTTATGCCACATATTTTTCAGCTACTTAAGTGCTGGTTTGACATCTGCTTGTATAAATATGCTATTATAAGCTGGAGGGCTGAATACTCGTTATAACCGTCTAACAACACAAACACTGTGGAACTGAATAGCTAATAGGCAAATTAAACAGATTACAATAAATATAGTAGGAATAAGCACTCAGAAAACTATGATCAAATTAAAATATACAAAATCCAAATAATCAAATTACAAATGCTGTAGTATGCAACTCTACAGTCTTTTTTGGTTAGCTGATAGAAACTGTTCACAACAGTGAACTTTATAAAAAGTTATGACATTTTATTTGTGTCCAAAGATCTGAATTGCTTTTCTCTTTAAACAGGACTGTGTCCTACAAGGCCCAACTTGACAAGAATGTGAGAAGTTCCTGGTTAGTTTTCCTCCTCCCAGTTTCACAATGTTCCTTTCCACTGCAAATGCCTAGCAGACTCCCAGTAAATCAGTGCAGGGAGCAAGCAGGAGCTAAACAAGATGCAGCGTCGAGGCGTAACCTTGGTGAGCTCTGCAGGGAACAATGTGCAAGAGACTGTAAATAAACTCCACTGATCTTTACGAGTTCTGCAGCCAGAGGCAGAAAGAAAAGTGAGCACTCGCTGGTGCCAACAAGAGAAAATTCATTAGTAATTTTAAAAAGGCTTAATCAGTAATTGTTTGTGGGTGTGTGGATGGTTGTGCTGGGTCTGAGGAGATGAGTGAGGAAACACACAGCACGCTTCAGACAAGGCAGGTAATTCTTACAGAGGGACGAGTGTGTGCATCGTTCACAGAAGAGTCGCAAATATGCCAACAGCTGCTGAGGCATCTGCCACCAGCATGCTGGGATACGAGGTAAAAACCACTCCGCATCACTAATTACTGCTCTTTCAGAGATTAAACATCCTTACAGACAGAGGAAGCTGCCCAACCGGTTCTGTTCCAGTTTTAAAGGGATATTCATTTATTCAAGTGGACTTCTCTGAAATGGAGGATCTCTGTTTGAAGAATCAGACAGAAATTCTCATGCAGGAGTCACGGCAACAGCTCCTGAGAGCTGGACACATTCAGACCAATGATGTTTGGTTTAAAAAAACACTCAAACGTTCAGTTTTTTTGAGTTTCGAGTTAAATGAGGTGTATTTTAGATCAAGTCAGAAGGATAAACTTATAATTTGGTGCTTCTAGAAATGGGTGATGTTAGAATGAGGACGATTTGGACATGTTGTCCATCTGCCAACGTTTTGTCACAGGCCATCCTTCACAAAGCAGGTTAAAAGGGCCGTTTCCACCAGGACCATTACATAGTGCTTCTACGGCATTGGCTCTACTCAGCTTGGACTAGGTACAGAGTGTTTCCACCTGGGTAGCCTTGAATTTTTCTGCACACAACCGCTCGTTTTTTCAGCCCCAAGGCGGTCTGCTTTGGACTGAACTGGTCCAACACACCCACTGCCGACTGATTCGCGGGCTCAAATTCACGTCTACCATTAGGGGAGCCTCTGACTGGCAGGTAGAATCAGCCAACTGGGGATTCCCGCAGTCGCGACTCATTATCCTGATGGATACTGAGGAGGAAACAAGCCTCCGACTGAAGCCGTCTGTCTGACGCCCACTGCAAATGTGTTGAAAAATGAGTGAACTTGGTCTTTAAAGACATTTAACCTCTCATCCAAGAGGCTTCTTCAGTTCTGAAACGTGGGTCTGAAGCATAAATATCTACCAACCAGAACACGGTTGGTCCCCGTGTGTATTCAATAAACTCTTGGAAGACCCAGCTTTTCTGAGAGCACCCTTTAGACTTGTACCTGCCTTGCATTTCGCCTCTCCTACAAAACTGAACTCTCTTCGTACACCTCCTAAATTTGCACCTCTTCTACAGGGTCCCATCTGACAGTCTGACCCTCTTAAGTAGTTTGTTGTTGACCTGAGGGGTAAGTTCGTTGTTACATTCTCCTTTGGTAGAAAGATAAAGGTAAGAGGCCACCAGAGACCGACACAGTGCAGCCTTGACTCATCTCCATAGGCACAAAAACTAACACCTTGGGACGTGAACAAAAAGGAGCATGTGGGCATCATTCGGCACTTGTTGGGATTGTCAGCATTGACAACACAAACAGGGCATTGAATAGAGGTTAGGGCCAGAGACCAATGACCTTGAAGGCCTCATTAGTGATCTTAGTGCCCTATAAGTGTGATTGTTTGATTACAAATTGTAAGAACAATGTTTATGCATTGGGCAGATACTTTTATCCTTAGGGACTTATGTGAGCTTTATGGCCTTGTCAGTGACCTCACTGCTGCATCAGTGTGATTGTTTCTTATAAATTATAAGCTTGATACTTTAACCCATGTTTCTGAACCAAAGACGCCTCATGAATGAGGGGCAAAACGTAACCACGATAACAAAAGTCCAGTTGTTGTCAAAGAAATACTCTAGATAACGTAGATGCATTCTTTGGTAAAAATTGCAAAAAGTAAAGAGAGAAAAAAAAAACTAAAAACAACTGTAGTAAAAATTTAAACCGTAATAAAATCATGAAAACATCCAATTTAACAGAAACAAATTTGGAATTTTTTTTGCCACAATGCAAAGTGTTTTCAATTAGCAATCCTGTTACTATTTAATGAGCAAGTCACCCCCATACCAACTAATTTTGCCGATAATGTATATAAATGAGTGTAATTGTGCTGTGGGCACGTGTAGTCAATAATTTGCCACTTTTGTACATTTTAGTGAAAATGTAAATATTCTGTCAAACTGTC